AAACTTCAATTTCAACCTCATTTACACCTTATAAAATCAATCTCATATATTTTTCAGCAATACTTTAAGATGAAATCGGGAGAAATCATTCACAGCACAAATATTCCTATTTGCTAGAAGTGGTCTCGCAGTGGACTGATCGTAAATACACAGTTCCCAGTAGAACACCGAAGGCTAGCATCACTGGCTGCGGTCAGTAAGCGGGTAGGTGACCCCTTTGATCAGCCTGCGTAGGGACCGAGGGTGAGTGTTATCGGTCCTTCTTGAACTGCTCTTCTGTAAAGTACTCGACTTCGCACAGGTCATCGGGCTGCCAAAGCAGATGAGCCATCCTCTCTGCAGAGGATCAAAATTGCGATGACATGTCTTCGGATCATCCTCAGGGAAGCTTCCCAGACAGTCGCCAATAGCCCATTGTGCAGATCTAGTGCGACGTAAATAAAGTACATACCTACTTGCTAGAAGTGTAGAAAAAAATAACCTGTACAGCTCAAAAACAACTGAAGGTAAATGTCAATCAACCTCGAAACAACCTTTTAAGTGTGAATAAAACTAACTTAATGTAGCTTGATTATAAACCTCAGGAGGTTGATTTTTTAAGTCATTTTCATTTATTTATTTTTTAAGTCATTTTTTTTTGAAGTTATTTTAAAATAAATCTCAAATCAACTTTAACACCTCGAAATAACCTCAAATACACCTCAAAAATACCTCAAATTTCGGTAAAGGGTAAATGATAGGATAATTTTCCCCAAGGAAAGTTAAAGAATTCGTGCATTGGTTATTAGTTGTTTTAATCACAGCTGGTGTATAGGTAACTGGTAGGATCCGAATGGATCAAGTACATGGCTGTGTGCCCCGCTGTTATTATTATTATTATTAGTCTTATACATTCAAATGTGTTGGCGGGAAAGAGAGAGAGAAATAATTACGAATTTTAATAAAAACAAAACATTTAGTAACCATGCAATGGTTTTCGAATTCAATAGAAATGTATAAGGCATGTGTAGAGGGAATCTCTAAACACAGATTTTATTCTGCTTTCAATTCAAGGTTGTAGTATAAAAAGATTACATATTATATTAAATGCTTTTTAAATATCGAGGAAAAGCATTAAATGAAATAATAATTCAGTTTTTAAATGTTAAGAAATACATTACGAATATTTTTCATGACATACACGTCCTTCCAAAATTAATCAATGTTTTATTCACATGACCTATCTCAGTTTACATTTAATATTGATTTGTCAAAACTACGTTATAAAATAAAATATTCTTTATAAAGCCTTTTTTTCTTAAATAATTATTAAAATTAGATTACTAGTGTGATGATCAGTTTTTGGAACTGATTTTCACCGAAGTTGGAATATAAGTTGTAGTTATAAATTTTAATATTTATTCGGCCTAACATTATTTCAAGACTGCACATTTTAGGTTAAAATTAGTTCAATTTTGATCAACCATTTTTCGTAAGTAATAATAGATTAAGATTAACAACCAATTTTATGCCTAATATCAGGAGAATAATGTGAACTTTAAGACAACTTTAAAAAAAAAACATAAGTCTAAATTAGTTATTCAAAATGAAGACAAAATTAAATACTAAATTTTGAATAATATTAGATGCGTACAAAATGATTCGTAGAAAATTGTTTTGTCAAATTTATAAAAATTGTCCAAAAAAAGCCCCATTTTCCGACATATTATTATTTACTTTTATTGTATAAAGAACATAAAATAAGTATAACTAACAAGCTAGCAAAACAAAAAGCATTAAGAATTATTTTAAACCAAAAATATTATCTTTTTTTTTGAAGACATTTATCCCAACAAGATAATATACAAAATTGATACTGACATACAATCAGTTCTGAATTCAGATACATAGGTACAAAATTGCTGTAAATTCTATACACTATACCTGGTATTGATATCGATTTAGTGAAACAATCTCATTAGGAAGAGAATAATTAACTTAAAAGAAATTTTCATTAAACTAACAAAACCCATACAGTCAATCATAATTAATAATCGCATAATTCATAACCATAATTCATAATCAATATTCATACAACCTGTGCTCTTCAAAATAAACCCGAACTATAAAAAAAGGAGAAAAAATAAGGATAAGGTCAAAATAATTCATTTATTATCATAAACCTTCTATAAAAATGTTTAAATATTCATTAACATGTTTTCTGTTGATGTAAATCAATCAAGAAAATAATTATTGTGTTCATCAATACAACAAAAAAAAAATAAAGTATTGATATTTCTCAAATGTCTAGCTTTAGTCATCGAAAACGCGAAATAAATAAAAAATAAATAAAATAACCATAAAAGGAACAGGCTCGCAGCAACGTATGCGTGGTAAAATGAACACACGAGACAAAAAAAGAAAAAATGTGGGGGGAAGCTTTGGTATGAGAATTAAACCTTGTCTAAAATGTCTTAAAGCATTCTTTTAAATAAAAAAAAAATCTATACAACGATAAAAACACCTGATGAATTATGGAATGATCGCTTTAATAAACATGACACTGAAACCCATGCTTAAAACAACAAGAAAAATAGTCATTTAATAAAAATGTCAAAAGATAAGAAAACCTACTAAAGATTAAAGATTGAAAAAATAAGTTTGTCAAAGTAAGTTTAACAAAGTCATAAAATTTTTCTTTGAGATCTTTAAGGTTTAATACTGAGATTCTAAAAATAATAAAAGTGTAACATTTTTAAAGTAGTATATCTTCCTTCCCCAACCTACAAGATAAGTATATGAAGAAAGAAATAATCTACATACAACTAATTTCTGAATTCATAGAATGAAACAAAAATTAATAATGCTGCTATCTATTAAATTATATAAATAAATGTATTAATTTTAACACGTCACCATGATCGGTGCGTTGTTTGGGGGATAAGATAAACCTTATAGGGCTTATTTTTTATAAATTTTCGTGTCCTAAACGTTTTCGTTTATTACCCTAGAAAATTACAAAAATACAAATTTTTCAGACTTTTATGTATAATAAAAGTTATAAAATAATAAAATAAATGAAACATTTTAAGTAAATTGAAAAAGAGAAAAATATTTATTTTATCAATGATATTTATTTTATTTATTTATTAAAACTGTAAACGTAGCCTGGAGTCCTGATGTAAACCTAGGCTTCTATCAAAACATTAAAAAAATTAGAAAAAACGATAAAAAGATGGAAAAAATTACAACAACTAAACTTCTTTTCAAATAGGCATAAAAAATTTAAATAAAAGTGACTGGAAAAAAAAGTCAATTTTAATTACTAAATAAAAGAGTCAGATAAGTGACCTAATTTGTTTGGTTATTGCTTACTTAGAGTTTTTCAAAAGCGACATGAGGCTAATTATTTTTTATTTATTTATTTTTGATTTCAAGTGTACTAATATTATTTTAGATTCCGGCATTTCTTTAAAGATATACGTTTAAAAAAATGTTAGGATAGTAAAAATTTAGTATAAGCAGTGTAATACTTTTCGTTAAAAAGAATAGAATATTTAATACTCAGCGCATGTCAATGTATATATATATATATACAGAGAGAGATAATTAAATTAAAAATACCCGAAAATATTGTACGATATGAAAAAGCGAACATGCAAAAGGTGAAAAAAAGAAAAAAAAATAACATTGTCATTTTTGCAAAATGGTTCCTCAATAAATTTTTCTCGATTTTTGGCTAAACGACTTTAAATCTCGAGAAATTTGAAACTCCATTTAGAAACTCCATTTATTTTAAAATGTGAACCAACTAAAGTAAGACATCATGACAATGCTGGACTAAAGCTGGATAAGACATCATTCCAGAAAGAAAGAAAAAATCTTATTAATTAAAATGGTAAATTCATTATTATTAATCCGATTTCAATAATTAAGTACTAAAACTTTAAAATGAAGTAATAATGATGTAATAAGTGTTTAGGAAACCATTCATTGAATATCCTGGTTCGGTTACAATAATTATTAATCCTATTATTATTAATTTCAACTTCCGCGCATCTCGTCATATCAAAAACATTCATCAACGTGAAGATATTCAGTGGTGCCATCTATCTCCTTTTTTATTACATAAAGCAACTTTCAGAATAAATTTTTAGTATAAAATATATATTATTTGCTCGGAGCAATGAAAATTATAACAAGCTAGTTATTAAACTATAAGAACTATTTTATTCTAATTTACAGAATAACTAAATAAAAATATTATTACTATTGGTATTCATGATTTACCGTTCTCTTGAATATATTATATATGTTATGTCTTTGTTATATATTTTAAAAAATAAAGGTAATTTTAGTAAAAAAGTTTTCAAAAACACATTACAAAAGTCGAAAAAAGCAAACTGGGAAGAATCTTAGCATTAAAAATTTCAAACAAATTATTAAAATAATATTTACAACAAAAAACATACTAGTCCGCAGCCGGCAGGATTCGAACCTGCGCGGGGAAACCCCAATGGATTTCAAGTCCATCGCCTTAACCACTCGGCCACGACTGCTCGCAAGCTAAGATTTTATAAGCTTTGAAGTTCAAATACAAATTTTAATATGTATTACATTTTTGGTATGCATTAAAATAAATTAAGATGCACTTTTTTAGTACATTCCTACCGATATAGAAATATCTCCTTCTTAATTAGTAAAATGTATGCAAAAGGGGAGCCACCCCCAAACAAACCTCAACATGTTTTTTTGTCTTTCCTATTTTTTTTAAGAAATTTGCAAGTTAAAAATCCAATGGCGATTGTTGTTAGAAACCGAAGGAGAAATTCCAGATCATTCATGGGCTGCATCTACCAGATGCTGGGTGCATTGGAAATAAAAGTGACACATAGGCCTACTAAATACAAAACGAACATTTATTCAACAAAACAAACAGCTTCTTGGTCAGAGCTGCTTCTCCGACGGAATCATAACATTGAATTGACAAAATCTGACGCCAACACTTTCCTCACTGCACTTCATTTCACAACATCCTCCCCCCGTTGAGACTCAGAGAGAGTCTCAAGCTCATAAAATACATTATTAAACAAATCAAGTCTTTTGGGAGATCTTACACATCTTCCAGAGGAAGTATATCGCTGCATTATGGTCTCATCAGGTGCTGAGCCACCTTTGATTTTACATTCAGCGCCAGAATTCGATTCCTCTACACCATGTTTCTTATCTACAGTAATGCTCATTTCATCTGCCTGAATTTCTAGTGGGAAGATACGTTGAATTGGACGTAAAATTGAACCATTCTGGGTCTTAAGTTTAACAGTGCGAATCTTCCCATCACGTCCTGGAATCAACTCAATAATTTTAGCCAAGGGCCAAAATAACCGTTTTTTATTATCATCTCCTATCAAGACTATTTCTCCTACACAGGGCTCACGAGATCGTTTCTCATTGTGTTTCTGCACCAGCTGTCCAAGATATTCCTTCCTAAAGCGCTGTCGTAGGTCTTTTAATAACTTACTTCTATATTTTATTCTTTTATTAAGACTTAATGAATTTAATTCATCAATATCCTCAACATTGGAACTCCGGTTCTCGATAAGAAACATGGCAGGTGTGAGAGGGATCAACTCCTGCGGATCTTCTGATACATAGGTTAAGGGCCTACAATTTATTATGGATTCACAATCACAAGTTAAAGTATACAGTTCTTCATAGGATAATACAGATTTACCCAAAGTGCGTTTTAACAGTTCCTTTACCGTACGAACCAGCCTCTCCCACCAGCCGCCCCACCAAGCGGCAGTTGGAGGGATGAATTTCCAAAGAATTTTGTCAGTCTCTTTTAAAATTTTAGTCCAATTTAGTTTTGAAAGATCATTAGATGCACCCCGAAAATTAGTACCATTATCGCTATAAATCGTTCTAGGTCGACCGCGTCTGGCGATAAACCGACGAAGTGCCAGGAGAAAAGCATCTGAAGAGAGGGAATTAACTAGTTCTAGGTGAATGGCACGGTACACCGCGCAAGTGAACAATGCGATCCACACCTTTTCTCCATTTTTTAAAAACAAAGGCCCAGCCAAATCAATTCCAACAATTTCGAAAGGTGCACTATCCGTAACTCGGTCTGGTGGCAGAGGTGTTGGTTCGCTCGACAAAGCCTTGACCTTAAATCGTTTGCAAGTAATACAATTGAATAAGACATTTTTAATAGCTTTCCTAGCCCTAATTATCCAAAATCTTTCTCTTAACAAGCATTGCATCATTTGAATCCCAGCATGACAATTTTTGTTATGTACATTTTAAATTAGTTTTTTCATCACAAAATTTACTTATATGATTAGCTTTTTGCAAACATGAAAAACAAGCACCCTTTTTCAGTAATATTTGTTGTTTTGGTTTCGTTTCATTCCCCCCGAACAGTGCATGAATCACTGTCTCCTTTCGAAGAGGCCACGCCTTAAGTAGACGTATAATATTTTCGCTAACGTAACTGCTTTGGCTACCAGTGTCAATTGCGCATCGAATAATTTTCTCGCGTCCTTGACATCGAATTAAAACGCAAAGAGTTTGCAAATATACAGTTTCACTTTGGCTGCTATTAGAAAGAGAACTTTCTTTAGAAATACTTTTTTGGTCATTATTTTTTAATTTGGATCACATTATATCAAAATGATTATATTTACAATTAGAACATAATGACCAAAAAAGTATTTCTAAAGAAAGTTCTCTTTCTAATAGCAACCAAAGTGAAACTGTATATTTGCAAACTCTTTGCGTTTTAATTCGATGTTATTCCAATGTTATTGTCTCGATATATGTTAATGAATGATACGTCTGAACTACCTGTTTTTGTGGATGCTTCCAAGAGGGCCTATGCAGCGTGCGTCTTTGTAAGATCGGTACTGAATTCAGAAGTTAAAATAAATTTAGTTCGAGCGAAGTCGAGAGTAGCGCCCATAAAACCTCTAAGCATTCCTCGCTTAGAATTAATGGCTTGTTGTATCGGTTCTAGACTTGCTAGACAAATCACGCAATGGATATATGCACTTGCAATTGTTCACAATCTCTTAAAATTTAAGAAACAGGTTCAAATTCGAATGTCAAATAAGAATGCTGAAAGTAAAATTTTTAATGCAAATAGCTTAAGTTTATCTTTCTTAAATGTGTAAAGGACTGATACAAGGGTGTAGCAAAAAGGAAAATTGCATAGCATCCTAAGAATGAAATAATTATTTTTAAAATATATTATGGCTGAAATAAGTAGCAAACTACAATAGAAAATTTAAACATTAAAATTATATTTAAAAGCGTTAGTTCACATTTTTTTCTTTCTTTTTTAAAGCTAATGATTGGTGAAAAAGTGGTCCCTAATAATACATTTTTGATAATAGTATTTACATGGGGGCCACTCTAAAAAAATTTCAAAACTGAACTTATTTTTTGACTAATTAACACAGTCTAGTACTGTTTACCAGAATTATCAGGAATTTATAGCTGACACCAAAATGCACTTTTCCATAATGATAGCCTGTATATTAAATCAATAATTTGTTTATTTTTCTAAAGAAAGAAACAATATTTTTCTTTACCGCAAACAACGATAGCTAACCTTGTATGTATATCTTTTTTACACTAATCACCGAGTAAAATCACTTGATATAAACCACTGACTTTTTTCTAACACAAAATTGCAGTAATTTGTGCCATAGATGGTTAACAGCGATTTCATTTAATGTTTTTATAACTGTTTTTAACCTGTTAACTGTGCATGACAAAATATTTCATCATATATGAACTACTACTGCAATGGGCATGACAACCTATTTCGTTATGAAAATTAAGGTGTGATGATAATACTACATATAATTATGAAGAAAAAAATCCCCATTGAGAAAAGAGTTGAATATAAGTTTATTCCTCAGTTAACAGACTAAATAATAATGATGAATACAATTTTATAAAATGATTTTATTATAATGTAACGATAAGCATGAAGTGAACTCATTTTTTATTGTTTAATTCAATATTATCAAACAAATCTATCAATTAAAATAAACAGGTACTTTAAAAAAATGGACACAATTAAACTTAAAATCTGGTTCTTCTGAACAAAATTACTCATAATCTTCCTAGAATCCCAAAATAATTAGAATTAGAATTCCAAAATAATGCTCAGAATGTTAACTTGAAATGTAGACTGGTATTTTCATAAAGATATTTGTAATTTTAAATTTTAATTAAAAAAAATAACATTAGTACGACCGAACGGTTTTAAAAAAACAGATAAATAGAAAACAGTAAGAACAAATAACTTTTTTTAATATAATTTTTTTTTAATAGAAGCACTAAAATTGAGTGAATGGTGTTAAATGAGTTTTGGTCTAATTATTGAACGTTCGGAGAAAAAATTTCAATTTTTACTGCTTAAATAAAAATATTTGCTTCTCTGGTGTACTAATTTAGTTATCATAACATGACAAAAACAACATTAAATTTTTTGTGAAAAACACACCATTTACAATGAATTTGAAATTAGCTGAATTTGAAATATGAGATAAAACAAAATTTGATATTATAGAAACAATACTTGGGCCAACATGAAAAATATTATTCAACCCAATATTGTTATTATTATTTGACTACACCTTATTGTTGCTGTTTTTTAATAAAAAGTCAGTCATAAGTTAAAATTAATTTTGACTAAAATAATTTGAATAAAAATAATACAGTGAAAAAAGCAGTATCATTTGTAGCCAAATGTAATCACTAAAAGCGGCTGAATAAGTTTATTGCTGTATTGAAACATTAAAATAGATGTTATATTGTGTTGTCAACAACAACAATGTGAGTCATGTTGTTAGTAACAACAATTACTTTAAAACATGAATATTTAAAAAACTCATAAAATGTAAGAAGTTGGTTAAACAGCAATAACCTAATAAGCAATAATAATTGATTATTTTCAAGAATTAGGTTTAAAAATGACAGAATAATCTAGTTTTTGATGCATTTCTGCCTGCTGGCTACAAATAAAAATGACTTGATTTATATAAATTCTGCAAACCTAAGCATGTTTAGAATTGTAACCTTTTTCTTTCATTCAAACAATTAAACATAAATTACTAAAATGTGTATACTTAAAAAAAGAAACATAAATCCTGTCTTATCACTAGCAATAATCATTTTGAAATTTATACATTGCATGCTTAAGTTTGGAAAAAAATAAAAAAGCAGAATATAAAATTGCCGCTCTTATCAATCCAAAATGTGAAATTTTCTGCAATTTCTATGCATAACATTAACAATAGAAAAGTGTGAAAGTATATGTAGTAAAAGAAAGTATGTGCATCAGGAATAAATTATAAAATGTTTAGTTATTTAGTGACATACAAAGACATTTGATTAACTTATTGTCTAAATTTCAATTTTTTGATACCTACAATGCATAAGTTGTAAGTGGCAAATATCAGCATGATATTATTTGCAATTGAGATGTGCTATTTTGATATTAATTAGTTTAAAAAAAATAGCATTATGATTTTTAAAAGAGTATTACAAATGTTTAGCTTAAGCTTTTAACTATTTTAGTATATTTTTTTTCAATAACTTAGGACAAATAAGTATGATGTCCAAGTATTGTCTAAATTCCAGAAAGTTTTGCTCAATGTATGAGCATATTACTTAAACAAGATTACTAGATTATTATCTGACGAGTGAGTTCGAGTTCAGGTTGAGAAGCAATCCAAAAGGAATAATGAAATTAGTCAAAGGGTTAACAAGCAATAGTGAGCAGAGGTCAGTAAGCCCTTAATTTATTTTAATTCATTCTTTATTTCGAATCAAAATGTTGTAACCACGGCACTAAACTTATTATAAACTCTATATTATACAATGATTTGATTTTAACTATTACAAATAATAACTAGTAAAAATTTGAAAGCAAATCTGTCAAATATATTTAAAAAATTCAGTGCTTACTCACAATTATTGCACATCGTTTATTTATAACAAATCCTTAAAAAAATTAGAGGCCTAGATGCCCTTTTGGTTTTTTGCTCAATATTATAACAATAGATGTTTCTAATTTACTTCTACTGTAAGATTTCATAAACTATGAAATGGAATCTTAATTCTTATAGTAGTCTAAACATTTGAGCTCAATATTTCCTATAAAATGGTTGGTGCAGTTTGGTACATAAAAAAAAATTTTGCCCTAATTTATTTACTTAACTTTGATATTCACCTGATTTTCAATAAAAATTTCCCTAAATGCATAACACTTGAATGGTTGGTTAATAAATCATGACAGTAACATACTAAGTGCAAAAGTTATCAACTTACCATTTTACATTTTAACTGTTCGTTCAAATTGAAGCAGTAAAAATATCTGCATTTAATACAAACCAAAATTATAAATATTGTTTAAATTTTATATATGTACATCTTTTATTAAATTTAAAATTTTGATTATCTGAATGTAAAATAGTAAATAAAATTGAGGCAATCAAGTATCAAAAACCATCAATAAATTCTACTAAATTTGAAATATTTATTTAAAATATGGTAACAAATAAATAATTGATCAAAAAAATTCTAAATATAGATTTACACAACTAAGTAAAAACAAAAAAGGATTCCCAAGGTCTAGAGAAACAAAACATTCAAATTTTAAATCGCTTCCTCAAATTTGCAGCAAGGTCCAAAAATGGTGTTGCACTTTCATGACCTGTTTTGGGTATATTTAAAATACTCCTAACTCGGGGAGCCATTAAGAGCACATTTTGACAAAGACCAATTGAGCTTGAACAAAGCCAGTAAAAAGTGACAGACTGTAAAATGAAAAAATCATTATTATCTTAAAACAGAAGTAACTTATTAATTATCTGCACATAGTTGTATATTACAGAAATTATAATAATTACGTATATTACAAAAATTAATGACAATTACTTGCTAATTACTTAATTATAAATTATGATATGATATTTTACAAATTTATTTTAAAAAACATAATGAACTTTTTTTTTCTATCAGTTTTTATTTAGTAAATCAGCAAAATGTTAGTGTTTTCATTTGGCTCATATATTAATATGAATTTAAATAATGATTTAAAAAACTGACAACTAATAAGACAAATAATAAGTCTTAATAAAAAAAAATAAAAATCATTAAATTATTGTAAAAGATTAAAAGGCAATAACAAACAATATAATATGAAAAGAGAGTGACTACAGATAGTTCTTGAAGGTTAATTAGCAGTAACTAATAATATAGTATTAATATCTTATAATTTGCAGAACTTGTATAGTACTGAAATTGTACAAAATTGTATTATCTGTTATTTCAGCTAAATTCTATTCCTAGTTACCTTTTAAATTGTATGTAAACTAATAAGTAAATTTTTCTCTATACATGTTAGTTTCCAAAACTGCACTTCTTAATTTCAAAATTTAACTTTGAATTTTAATATATTTAGATAACCTTCTTTTACTTTTAAATATTACAGTACTACCTTATATTCTAATAATAACAAATTATTATTGAAAAACGAATTTAAAAAAAATGTTTAACCAAGAGAAGCATACTAAGCATATATATTTTTTTGATATTTTCCAGTTATATTGATTCCAATCATTTTTCTTCTTAAAAACAAAAATTTAAAACTATATTGAAGTTGACTATATTAAAGTTTCTAAAATCATGTAATAGAAATCATGGCTGTGTATCTCATTCATTTGAAATGTGCAACTGTAGATTTTAAGATCTGGCTTCTAGTTTTGACTGTGAAAAAAACTTTTAAGAAACATAAACTATAGTAAAGAATAAAGCTTTCTTTTACACACACAAAAATAATTTTCTCCAGAAAAATAGAGACTAACTGAATAAAAAAAAATTCTTGAGTTGAAAATAAGAATAGATTTTTTACTAAGTAAAATCAGAAAAATGACCATTTCAAAGAGAGAGGGGGAGAGCAAAATTGTCCGTGCTGTTGCATTTATCTAGAACTAGTTGGACAGTTTATAAGGAGTGTTCATTACACCTGAAAAAACTCATGTAGGTTATGTAGTACAATTACTGAAGTAAGATTCATTTATTAAAAATAATTTTTTAAAAATCTAAAATTACAAACTGCTGATAATTTTTTTTACGATAAAATTACTTAGATAACAGTCCATAACTTTCTTTTTAGAAAACTTTGTAATTTTAAATTATTACTTACATGTTTAAGACAAACTTATACGTATTTAAGACAAACTTATGACATTTATAATAATTTTGGAAACCTTACAAATTAAAATTTTAACAAAAGTATTACACTTGTAAAACTACAAAAAAAAAAAATTTCATTTCAAAATCCAAAACAAAATCTCATTTATTTCTAAACAGTTTAAAAGGTTTATTTTTACATTTTTCTATTGTTCATAAAATATTGAAAATTAATATATTTAATGTATTCCATCCAATCTAAAAATCATAACCATATAATATATTCCAACTTATTTAATTAAATCAGTGATTTAAAAAACAATTTACTTTTATTGACTTAGTTTTTTTTTTTTTATTTCATAGTAACAACACTCTAAACTCCAATCATCATAATAATTTTTTTTTTAATTTGTCCTAGCATAATCTATTCTAGGGATTTGCCTTCATTCGTGTAGCAAATATTTTTACTGATCTCTAACACCAAGGGACAAAATGACATTTACAAAAATAAAATATCAGTAAAATAGAGAGAAGTTTTTCAAGTTAGTAAAATCTATTACCAAGAACAAATAATACATAAAAAATAACTTCATTTATTGATTAAAAAAAAGTATTGAAATAAAATTTGTAGCAATAAAAAAATATATATATATATATATAGGTTTTTAAAATTAATGAACCCAGGGTAAATTAAAAAGCTAAATGTAGTTTAAAACATTCTAAATCTAAAAAAGTTGTAAAATTCTATGTGTAATAAATTAAATTCACACATCAAAGGATGTTTCAAAATTTAAAATATTGAGAAATTGAAAGAAAATAGGAGTTCCTAAGTTTAAAAATTAATGTTTACATGTGATTTGAGCAGAAAATTCAATAATTACTACTTACTACATCTATTAATGTACACATTTATGACTGCTTCATCAATTGATAGATGAAATATAAAGACATTCATAACTAGAATGGATTCATATTTTAACAAGCAAGGCTTTTAATTAAGACTGATCAGACTGATACTTCAAAGTAAAGAATTATAATTTGATACTTACATAATTATTTTATCACCCGGACTCTGCCGTTTAAACATGAGAAGAGGAGAAAAAAGAAATTTCAAATATTAGTTTAATTTTGCCAACAAGACCAAAATATGTCTGTGAGACTGGCCACTCAATTTTTTCCCAAAGGAGAATTATGTGTCACAAAATTTTTTGTTCCCCTACTAAGATTTTTTTGCGTATATGACATTCTGTAGTGTGCAAATGAAATCATTAGATTGCTTGATTATCTAAATAAACTAAAAATTCAAACTCAATTCAAATTAATTTTATATCACTAGTGGGCTAACCCCCATGTGGGCTACCGCCAACCCCCAAAAATTGCTACGCAATCTTATATGGTTTGCTTTGCAATCCACGCTCTCTTCGCTCGCTACTAACTTGGGTACATTGCAAATGCACAAAATTCTAAGAATTCAAAGCAATCATTCAAATCCATATAACAACTTTCTTTTTTTAAAAAAATTACATCTTTTTAGTAAATACTAAGTCATTAAAATAAATTTGAATTCAAATAAATGACATGTAATTCGTTAAACCTATTAGAAATGTGCTATAGTATAAAATCTTAAAGCGTAGCAGCACGACTGAGACTCATTTCTCAATGAATAACTAATAACAATAATAAAACAAATAAATTCGTGATATAAATCAAAAATCGTCAAATAAATTCGTAATATATAAATTCGTGAAAAAAAGCGCTTTCGACAAAATACTAAAATAGAGATCTATCGACAAAGACTACTCACTTCTGCCTAGCTTAATAGTATGAGATTGCCGCAGCTGATGCTCTCTGGTTATTTCAGTTTCCGTTTTTAAAAGCGCTATATGTTGAGCCACCTCAGTTAGATTGGGCATGTGACATTTTTCGAGGCAATCATTGGTCGATTTTCTAACGTTGCCATTCGGGGAGTTGTAATGAGGCTTTTTTTTGTCGCCGTGTAAGAGAAATATATATATAGATAGCCTTCTGGCAAAACTTTCAATTGAACCTAGCATTTAAAAATACATTATCCTGACTTATTATTTCATTTTTATTGCAAATGAAGCATCATTTCTTAAAATGATAAAATAAAAAACCAGAGATATTTTACAAAAAAGAAAAAAAAAAAAAAGGATAAAAAATATTTTAAAAAATCTTGTTGATTTGTTGAGATTAGATTAAATATAGATTTTAATGGCACAAAAACAATAAGGTGCAATAATACAAGGATTATAGTAATTATTTTTAAAAAAATGCTTCATATAAGCTAATTTTAAAGTTAAAAAAACAAATGGAAAAAACAAGAACAAACAAAAGAAGAAAATAACACTTAGGCACTTTAGTGTGTGAAAGGAGTGTATGAGAAAACAAATCACATTCCTTGAAACAATATGGTGAATGAAATAAAGTTGAATTTTTTAAAACTTGAAAGTAGGACTTTTAATGCAAAGCTATACTACTTTTAAATACTACTAAAAGAAACTATGCAAAACTATACATGTGAAAAAATTATAAATATTTGTAATATTCTTAAACTATTAAATGTATGCCAATCTTCAAATTTAACAATTCATAGTTTACCAACATTACACTAAATTTAAGTACAATAAAAAACAGGGAAAACTCAACTTATGAATACATTGGAGTTTTATAGGAATGTTTGTTTCAGTTGCAATTAATAAATAAACACAGTCTAAAACTGTTTTTCTACAAAAATTTTATAACCTTATTTCAAATTATTTATTAAATTAAAATTATTAATTAAAGGGCTCTTTTCTTAGATGAACACCTAACTTAAGGTGGCTGTTTTCTTAGACCTTTTAGTGTTGTGTTCTTTTTTTTGAGATTTCAGTAAAATTTTAATAAAATTATATACAGTTATGTTTTAATAGAAGACATTTTGCTATGAATGAAAAATTATTTAATTATTTACAACAGTTGCAATGCAGATTTTAACAATTTCTAAATTCAAGACAGTAAATAAATTAATGATATGTATTACTTACAGAAGGATTTATGGATGCAGCTAAAGCCACAATAATTGTAATTAATCTGGAACTATTGAGCATAACTTTTTGAAAAAGAGATCCTTTTCCAATTTGTCTCATAGCATGTATCTAAAATGGAAAAAAATATTAAAGATAAGCAAGAGCAATGTAAATAGTTAATGCAAAATATTTTGTAAATATAATTTTTGTAAAAAGTGTTTCAAACTATACCTAATGAATAAGCTTTAGAAAAATTTTTCAACAAATGCAAATTTGTTAAATAAACTTTCAACTAAATTATTATTCAATTCATTAAACAGTTTTATTTCTTTACCAGTGTTAGGAACATTGATATAATGTATGAATATTTCACATATATTTATGCATTTGTTACTAATTAGTCATTTTTTACAAAAATTAAACTATATAATTAATTAATTTTGTACCACCCCTTTTAATGTCCGAAAAATACATAAATTTTGAAACAAATTCCCCATATGTTCAGGGAACTAATTTCTGATACAGAATATTGAAATAGAAGGCACAGACTTTATAATATTATAAAAAAAATTTTCTTTAACATATGGAAATAATTTTTGGAAAAACTTGCAAAACAGAAATGATAAAACACATACATATTATGAGAATTACCATCAAACAATTATACAGATAACAGCTTCATAAGAAATACATTTACAGCAACAACTGAAACTGAAACTCCAAATATGTTTCACAATGATAAAAGGAAATTTATTATCACCTTATTTTCTGTCAAGCGACTAACGATGCACATAACAAAGTGTGTTGAAAAGGAAACACAACTTTATACTTCTTTTAATATTTTATCATAAAATATATGTTCATACCTGTATTATATTTCCATAAGACAACTCTCCAATTCTGACATTTTTTCGTGAATGTTGGGAATCCCATAAAAGGACACTCAAAAATATAATAGAACAGATAAATTAACAATGGCAAAAAAAAAACTAATGCTCCTGATGATTAGTTTAATGCTCTTGATCTTAATGATTTAGTTATTGAATTTTAAAGTAGATGACAAAGTTCCGGAAACAATAATAATTTTACTTAATTAAATGTAAGTTATAAGTGATTTTTAATTGTAGCATATTTAAAGTTGCAAAAATTACCAATTATTGTCAGTTTAATAAATTTAGATATATCAATTAAGTTATCATCATGAGTAATTTTACTTACTTCAATAAGAGAACCATTCACAAGCAAAAGTAGTAATGGTATGAATATTGGATCAGGACAAGTTAAATCAGGGAACCATAGAACACCTTCAGTTTTAAAACTGGCATATAAAGAATCAAAACCTGAAATACAATTAAAATATTAAAAAAAAAAATAATAAATAAATAAAATATAAAAAAAACATTATCTATGAAACAGTGCATCTAGATAGCATAAATATAATTTTAAGACTAAAGTTTGTTTCTTACCGCACTAATAAGAATAACTATTTTTCTAACTTAATGTAAACTTAATATTAAATTGCTACAATAAAAAGCCTAACAGCAAAGCATGCAAAAAAATATAATACTTTGTTTCTAACCTCAATGGAATGACATAGTGTAAGGAAATGTTAGTAATAGCATTTTATAGTAATAGTGACAGATGGTGGTTGGTTATGTTTAATCAAGTTGGATATGAGATGATGAAAGTAATGTCAGAGATTGAGCAAATCTCCTTTCAACCAACACACACCAGCACATACTCTTTACTCCCAAGAATGTTATTTTTCGGTGAAGATACTATATATAACTAAATATAACATACTATGAATATATACTTGAAAGATCTAACCTAATCGATTCTTATCAGAATACATTTAAAAATATATAATTTGTTTTATAATTTACAAATAACTTACCAGAATTAAACATGCTTGAAGCCATTGTTAAATTTCTCAGAGACACTGAAAAACAGATCCATACAGGAACTTGGATCAAAACAAGAAGTGTAGCTTTGAAAGGATGACAGTTATCACGTATCACAGAGTCTTGATAAATCTTTTTCATCTAGACACAATTAAAATTTTATGATTATAATCAATAAAGATATTCCTTAATAAGTTTATTATGAGAGTGTTCTCATCAAATCAATAAAAAAATTTCATCAGTACTTTAAAATAATCATTACATCATGACTCGAAAAATCTCAAAATTGTACTAGCTAGCTGAGCATTTTGATCTGCAAATGCATGCCTTTAAAATGACCTAAACAATTTAATATAGTACACATCAACACTTTTATTTTATTTATAAATCAGAAGTAAAAAGTATAAAGTCCAAATAAAAAATTGATGGAATTGTTTTGCAATGCTGATTGGTTGTTCTTCACAAATAGGCATTGATGAAGTAAATGTAGAACATTATTACAGTACGAAGTCTCATATCCAAACTGGAAAGATCTATTTTTTCAACAATTTTTAACAGTCAAAATAAAATAAAAACATTTTCTTTTTCCAAAAAAAAATAATAATTAATGTTTTTTTTTTTTTTTATTCTTGCGATTTGTTCAAGAAATTTATTAGTAAAAATAAAATTTATTTCTTCTTGCTGCTTTTATAATAACTAAACACTTATTCTGCTAAAATTTATTTGTCAAAGAAATGTATTAGTAAAAAAAAAAATTTATTTCTTCTTGCTGCTTTTATAATAAGCAGAATAACTAAACACTTATTCTGCTAAAATACAGTAAAAAAATAGTCAAAAAGATAAGAGCAGTTAAAGAAAACTGAACTTTAGTGAGATGAAAAAACTATGAATATTTATGAAGTAGAATATTGATGATGTCTAAAAAAAAATTATTTTTATTTACTATCAAAACTGCTAGTTCTTTTAATCAAATAGGGGAAAAAACAGAAAAATGCATTTTTACTCAGGAAAGAGAAAGTACAAAAGTTTCCTCACTTATATTAGATAAATATATATATACCTACTAAATATTCTTTAGCTAAATAACGGTTATTTAACCTGTAAGATTATTTTCCTTAACATTTTTGAATGAAAGTTATCTTCCATTATGTTTTTTTCATTGAATAATAAATGTTTTGATGTTTGTTTACCTTTAAGAACTATAATCAGGAAAAATCTATTTTTCAGACTTTTCGAAGTTTAGACAATTCCGGATATATGGCTTTTCATTATATGAACAAAAAGTATTGTTATAAGTATCAAAAATTATTGGTAAATGTATGTCTACTTCCTTTCAAGCAATATTCAAATTCTACAGATGAATGAAACTTCACGTTAAATTATTACATGTTAAAGTGGATAAGCTTCATTGCAAAAGGGTTATAATTTGATTAATTGCACTTTACTTGGTATATTTTTTAACACAGAGATTAAGTAAACTTTTTATTAATAAAAATAATCATGGTTAGCAAAATAAAAAAAAGAATAAGCTAACTTTGCTTTATAACTTTATTTATAATGATTAAATTTTGTTACATTCAATACTTATTTAATATTATCAATTTTCTTCTTAGTTTATTCTTTCCAGCTAGCATGTGGGTATATCCCTATGTGTATATCATTTTCACTTAGCAACCTTTATCAGTAGTTTAAGGCATTTCTAGTTAAATATTTACAAACCTCAACATGTAAAGACACAGCACATGAGCACTATGTGTATCTGATTGTGGGCAGGCAAAGCAATATAAATATTGAGCACTGCATAGATACGTGGCTTTAACCACAAATATTACTTTTTTACTTTGATAAAGTTACTACCAATTCCTCTACATAATGCAATATTTTACAAAATGCAAAATTATACTCCCAGTTACTTCCTAATTCCAAAATGTATAGCATATTGATAAGACATAAAAAGTAAAACATAATAATTATGAAGTCAGAGCTATTTCAATTGCTAGACTGAATTTTGCACACAAAATTTCAAAAACGTACCTACTTGTCTTCTGAAAACTTTTTTAGCTTGTTCCTCATTCCAGTTATACATTCTCCTTGCTATATTCACTTCTTCATTCAATTGAGTTGCTTTCGCACCCAAACCAGCGTTTATATTCATCAACCTTGCCATAACTTGATTTTGATGAACACTCAAAGGAAATACAATAATAGATCTAATACCTAATGTAGTAAGCATTATAACAGCCCACCATGGCAAACTAGTTATTTCATGTACTTCTAGTAAAAGGTTTTGAAATGATAAAACAGGAGTTGATTGAGATAAAGCTGAATAAAATCCAGTCCAAGAAAAATGTCGAGTGGTTAGAAAACTACAACTTGCCAAACAATATGAGATTTTAAACTGGTGATTACCAGGAAACTGGTAATTAAATGCCTTATAGTGGAGTCTTTTGCAACAAATAATTCTTTTAACACTGTGATTCAAGATGCTCATTTTTACAACCGTAAAATTTTTTGATTAACAAGCTGAGAAAAATTGAAAAAAAGCCCTATACAAAATTAATTTATTGATTTTAACTTTGTAGAAAAAGTATTCATAGAATATCTGTGAAAGCTTTAACCTAACTTATAATTAAATTGTCAACAAAGTCGTTGCTGGTGCAGTTCTAGGGAATGTTCTTACTGCATTCTTACATGGGGATGCGAATAATGGAGCATTTTCTTTGCTTGCAAACATTCGAAAAAACAAATTTAGAGAACAACTCAAAACCTAAATTACTTTCATGGGATAATATAATTCATCAATCAGGTACTAATTCGTATCAGCAAATTTCTTGCGTTAAGGAATTCTCTCTGAGTGTAAAACGCATATGCGATCGCGCACAATTGCAATTGGGCCGCAAGTGAAAAGATCGTTGCAAAAGCCACTCTCAAATCAAATACTATTCGCGATCGCAACGCTCGAGTACGGCGTCTAGCGGGAGCCTGTAAATATCAGACATTAATTTATCCGGTTTTCATTTAGTTCCATCAAATTCATTGACAGAATCAGACGCCATTTTTTAGCAGCAAATAAGAAACAAAATTTCCCTAAGGAAAAGGCCGAAGAACTTGAAAAAAATCTCCAGAATATTAGCAAATCTTTTAGGAACAGAACTCACCAAACATTTGAAGAAAAATTCCTCAATAATTTTTAATTTCTATTATCAACAGTCCCGCAGTGGACTGATCGTTAAGACACGGTTCCCAGCAGATCACCGAAGTAAGGTAAAATGCATTTCTTCTGTCTTCAATTCATTACGAATTAAAGTGAAGTCAACATTGCTTTCGTCATTCCAGTGAATAAATATGAATTCAGAACATACAGAATTGTAATAGTTATAGCATATTCTTCTTCGTTATAGAATAGTATATATTTCTGTATCCATATAATTCGGAAAACAACAATAAAAAATTATCCAAGTTACTTGAAATAGTGCCATTTGTGCTGATTCTTAATTAATTTAAATCGTTTTCTTGGTAAGTTTTTTTTAATTTTGAAAGAATAAGTTCAACTAGAATTCAGCTATTCTGTTTTTAGCTACATATTCAAATTCATATCAATTATAAAATTTTGCTGTGTAGTATGTTATCTAAAAGTAATGAAGGTATAAACTATGTATCTATTATTTGAGAATAAAGTTTTCAAACAAGGAACTTATCATTTTGGAATTCTCCGGGAATCATAAATCAGGTAAGTGCAATGATTTTTACAATAAAAAATTTGCTTGTAAATATTTTTTTTTCATTTGATGATGGTTCTCTACAGAATGGTTTTTTACGTCTGATTAAGAACTATAAGAATAATAAAAAAAGAAACAATATGAAAGTTTTTATTTCAATGTAAAGAATTCTTAAAATCTTTTTTTTATCCTAAGAATTCTTTATTTTCCGTTTTTTAGTTTATAATTTTTTGATAAAAATTGTTCTCAAAATACTTTTTTTGAAAAATTAAATGGTATAACATTATGTGTTTATGTATACTTCTTGTATATTCCAATGTTTGAAGTAATATGATTCAGAAAAGTATGGAATAAAAATTCGGTACTTACGTATTAACGCCACCGCCGCTACAGATTTGGCGGTTTTTAAGTGCCGCTAATCTACACTTAAAATTTTTGCGACAATTCATAAAATAAAACACTTTATTTAAAATCAAAATAGTCAATCGGATTTCGGTGGAAAATGAGCCGATATAGAGTTTAGCATAGATTCAAAACAATCATATCGCCATATGAACTCTGATAAATAAGATTCCAAATGAAATAACATTTCCAAAACGTACGTTTACCAAGATAAAGTTTTATGTTGTGGGAATTGGTACATTTTCGTTTTTTCGGTAAAATATTTCCCTCCTGAAAAAATAAAATTGCATCTTGTTTTGTTTTTGGCAAATCCCAAAGACGAATTTTCGTAGCACTAAAAATGGCGACAAAAAAGAATTGTTTTTTTGTTTTTGTTTCGTCAGCATTCTTTATTTTACGTTTCTTAGTTTCTAAATAATGATTTTTATTGAAACTTGAAATTTTTTGATAAAAATTGTTGTCAAAAAACTTTGTTTACAAAATTAAATTTCATAAAATTATGAGGCTTATGTATACTTTTTGTTCATTTTAATTTTTGAAGTAATATGATTCTTAAAACTATAGAATGTAAAGTTTAAATGGGCCTTTCATGTTATATCATTAAATTTAGTAATACTATTTCTCGGGCATTAGGTTTTAACTCTTATAAGAATATACATATTTTTTTCTGTTAATGTACAAATATTTTTCCGATGTGTTTTGGATATTCCTTCTCTAATAAAAAGAGATACCATTTTGTTTTCGTTTGCATAAGAAAGAATATCAAACATTTTTCTTTTTTAAATTTAATTAGCCACAATAAAGAAGGAACGTTGCAATGCTACGTGCTACATTAAAGACGTCTCTAGAGTAACTGAATCACTGTTCATATGGAAATCGCAGGTATCCGTCTCATACAACAACGCCCCCTATAGTTCGTTGCGATCGCGAATCCAATTATCTGGGTTTTTTTTGCATGCAATTTTTTCACTTGCAAGAATCATTCTCAAGTCACAGACAGTGAGAATGATTCTTTACACGTACTTACACAATGATTCTTTACAACAATCACGCACACGCTCCTTGAAAGAGCGATTAGGAACAGTAGAGGGGCCAGTTGGAGGTCAGGGGAGCAATTTGCCTATTTGAAAGCAATATTTTTTCTTTTTGTATTTATTCTATTACACGGAATTTTATTTGTTTGATGTTTGTATTATTATAGACATTGCTTTCTTCGAAATTGCGAGATGGTGGAATGGCAAAACTGCTCAGCAACTCCTTTAATCAGCACATAGCGCGTTTATATTATAACGAAATTTATAATACATTTTAATTTTTCCATTGTTTTTAATAACTGAAATAATTAATATTCTAGAGCCAATTTGACTAGCATGATAAGTGATTTAGCGTTGACTTCTCCATGTTAATTCGTATGAACTGACCAATGTTCCGACATACAATACTTCCAGTGCTAAATGGTTCACGTCATATGGGAGAATAATATTGCCCTTGAGCTAACCAGGGAGTATTTTCATGTTTTTTTTTCTCCTAATGTAAAGCAAATGTGAGCTTGTTTAAATTCTGGTGTCCTCCGTTAATGAGAATTTGTTGTGAAATTTTACCAAGGAGTACCCTTGTACTCTAACTTCGGTTCAAAATAGCAAAACTACAGGTTTTAGCCTTAAAAACAAAAAATTCATCTGCATGAATATTTTGCAGATGAATAAACTAGTACTAAAATAAAGTAAATACCTTAAGTCTTTCAATAAATTAATCTTATTCAATTTTCTTTATTTACTTACTTATTTTCGCTAAAATGTAAATTTTATTTACTTATTTTGCGAAAATTTTGTATGAAATAAAAAAGAAAAATATTCTCATAAAATCATTGAGAAAAAATTTTTTTTTTGTAAATGTACATTGCAAGCTTTATTTCCCTTATCTTTTTTTTTAATACTTTATAATTAATTTATAAATAATTAAACTTAAAAAAACGCATAAAATTTGAAAAAAAAACTCAATTAAAATAAAAAAATAAAGAAAACACAAAAAATTAATTATTGGAATTTTTTTCTTGGAAAATTTTTGCAATTTAAAAAATAACTAGTTTAGAATAATTTTAATACACTTTCCATAGGTGCAAATATTTTTTCTTTAAACCGAAACTTCATTTCGTATTTTTGCAAATTTTTAATACAGTTAAAGCTTCATATATCGAGACCTACATTGCGAGAAGTCCGATATTACGATACCTTCAAAACATTAATATTTAAGATACAAAAATTATTTGTTTATTGTCGGGTAGCTATAGCAACCCCACCCCCTCATCTGCGCATTGTCCGAACCTCACTCAGATAGACGGGGGATACGGATATGAGCAGACATAAGTAAACGCTCTAGTTATATTATGATGATTTAATTGTATTGTACGTATTTTATCTTGGTTTCTTCTAAATAAATATTTTTATCTATTAATCCCCATCATTTCTTCCTATTCGAATCAAAAGAACCCTACAGTTGGGTATCAGATACGGGATTGTTATCATGGCGTTTTTAGGAAAAGGCTTAAAAATAGACTTGCAATTCATGGTTACGGAAATGGGGGTTGAAAATGTTAGTAATTTAAAAGTGTTTGAGTTGAGAGAGGCCATCTTGAAGAATGAAAATTTCGATGAAGATTTTTGTAAAGAACTCTTACTTAAACACTATTATAGACGAACGTAAAAGGGAAGATAGAACAAGAACGAATTAGACGAGAAAAGCAAGAAAGAGAAGAAGAAAGAATGATTCGTGAAGCTCATCAGTACGAATTAGAAATTAAAAAATTAGAACTGTCTAAAGAAAATCTCAATCATGAAAACGAAACGGAAAACAGAGTTGAAATAAGTCATAAAATTCAACTAACTCAATTAACAACTAAATTTGATGAAAAACACGACGAAATGGGATTATATTTAATAGATTTTGAAAGAAGAGCAGAGATGGCTCAAGTACCTAAAAAGGATTGGGTAGCGTGCCTTTTAGCTGTTTTACCGGCAAATATACTAGCAAGAGAAGAACCTAAGGATGCTAATAATTATGAATTTGTTAAAAGTCTAATCCTAAAACGATATAAGTTAAATAGTGAAAAGCTTAAACAGTGTTTTTACTGACATCACAAGTCAAATGATAAATCTTGGAGAAATTATGCTCAAGAACTCATTAGTTATTTTACCGAATGGATCACAGAATTAAAAATAGAGACATTCGAACAACTCAAAGTTTACGACGCCATACGAACTAGCTGAAAAACTAGATGATTACGAAAGTATTAAAGAAAGTTTTAAAAGAACGAACATTTCACTTGCCGAAATGGAAAAAGAATACGAATTCTGACGAAAATAAATATAACACGCCGATCAGTGGAATATAAAAAAGATAAACAAAATATCGTCTGCAATTCCCCCTCTTCGCGTTTGTTTGTTTTGTAAAGATGAACACGAATATGAAAATTGTTATTTGACGCCAGTCGAAAAGAAACAAAAATTAAAAGAGCTCAACAGATGTTTCGTTTGTTATTAATTAAATTGTCGTAGGAATTGTAATCCATGCTGTAATATTTGCAACTCTCCCTTTCGTGGAACACTTTTACATGTTAATTTTAAACTGAAGAAAGAAAAGGATGCTCCGAATGACATTTTAACCGCTCGTGTCAAATTTCTAAATGGTGACGAAAACCATGGAGAGTAAGCTAGCTCCA